ACACAGATTATGTAAACTGTACCTTGTGTTTTCAATAAGGACTGGTGTGCTAGCAGTACTTTTCAGACCCACACCATTCCCTCCTGGCACCAAGGCACCACCAACCAGTATATCAGGTACTGTGTAAATTCTGAACCGTTTTATTACTTTTGTGCAACAAACGCTGGACAAGAGAGATCAGAACCAGAGCAGCAGATCTCAAATAAAACAAGAGAAGATTCATGACACAGTAAACTGTGAGGGATGTGCTAAAAGCATTCCAGAAAGGTAACCTGTATATTTAGACAATATATACTGATATTACAAAGATTGCTAGCACATCATTTTGAATCTCTTAAAAATAGTAGTTGCAACTGTCAAGTTTATAACATCAATAGCTTGATGGTGTATCCTAAAACGACGAGTGGCAAATTAATCATTGCTGATCTGCAACAAGTCTGCTTATTTTCTGCTCAGTTTGCTAGGAAAGTAAGGCTTCCAAGGCTGACTGCACTCCATTCACAGTCACACCTCAGCCTTGGGCACTGTAAGGCAATCTGAAAGCTGATTACTGTAATACACGTTAATGCCTGAAGCAGAAGTTTTACTCCTGTAATCACAGCGTAACTGAGGTCGGAAGGGATCTCTGGATGTCACCTATTCCAACCTCCTGCTCAAAGCAGGGCTAACTTCAAGGCTAGATCAGGTTGCTCGGGCCTCATCCTCTCAACGTGTGACTATTTCCAAGGATGCAGGCTCTACCTTCTCTGCAGGGCCCTGGGCCACCACTTCACCACCTTCCTCATCAAAAAATTACTTCCCCCTCTCCAGTTAGGATTTCTCCTTTACTGTAACACATCACCGCTGCTGCTTCTCCTGTCACCGTCCACCTCCAAGAAGAGTCTTCCTCTGCCTTCTCTAAACCCTCCTTCTGGCAGGGAAGCCCCACTGCCAGATCCTCACACCTTCAGCCTGCTCCTCCTCCTCCTCCCTGGGCCAAACCAACCCAGCCTCCGCAGCTTCTCCTCATGCACCACGGGCTGCAGCCCCCTGACTGTCTTGGTGGCCTCCACCAGCCTCGGGCCACTTTGTTGACCTCTCTCTTGTCCTGGCAGCCCAGAACAGGAGACAGGATCCAGCTGTGGCCAAGAAGAAGGAATATTCAGTTCCCTCCAGCTTCCAGTTATGCTCTTATTAATGCAGCCCAATGCACAGCAGGCCTTCATGGTTGCAAAGCATGAGCTGTCAACTCACATTCAATTTGCTGTCCGCCAGGTCCTCAGGCTCATCTCTGAAGGGCCACCAGCCAGTACTGATGTACGGAGACTTTCTTTCTCAACAAGCAAGACTCCACATTTTTCACAGTTAAAGGTCACGAGACTCCTCTTGAGCCATTAATCCAGCTTGACAAAGTCCCTGTGAATGGCAGCCCTGTCCCCCGGTATATCATCCACTCCCTCCAACTTGCTGTCATCCACAGTCTCGATGCAAGTGCATTCACACCATCCACCTGGGTCACCAGTGATGACATTACACAGCATGAGCCCAAGGACTGACCCCGGAGGAATACCACCAGTTAGATATTGAACAGTTGACTAGGCTAACTGGGTAGTACTTCTTCAGGGCCTCTTTCCTTCCCCTCTTGAAAAAAAGAGCATAACATCACTCTTTTTGCAGTTATAACAAATATCTCCCAGTCTTCACAACCTTCCAAAGATGATAGAGAGGGGCCTTTCAAGACATCAGCCAGCTCCACCACTACCCTCAGATACACTCTGTCCAGCCCTATGCACATGTGTATGTCCAGTCTACCTAAGCAGACACTTTTCTGAGCCTCCACCACCCCAGGCACTACCTCTCACCCACAAGCTCTTCTACTAGGCACACAGAGTAAGAAGGAAGTTTTAAAAAACGTATGAGTTTATCCCTTTTTTCTTTGCAACCGAAGCTGGATTCCTCTTTCTGTTAATTCAGAACTAATGATTTGGGGTTTCATAGAATAGCTCAGTTGGAGCAGATCTCGAAAGACCATCTGGTCCAACCTCTCGTGGGAAATGGAACCTAGATGAGAGTCTAACTTCCAAGTATAAGAACATACTAAATTCCTAATATGTTAACACTGCTACAGCACCTTCAGCCATCTAACAGCTAATAATCAAACCTATTAACTTTCCTCCAAGTACCAACCTCTTCTCTACTTATTGCAAATAAAGAAACAATTTAGTCTCACACAAGGTAGCTTAGCTGTCCAAATCATAACTCCAACAGTGTTCCTGAATGCTTTTACATAATGAGAAAGCCAACTCCTTCTTTACCTTCTCAGCTTTGGACCACTGAAAAAGCATTGAGTATCCCCTGATTTTTATTGGTTTTTGTTTGTTTGTTTAGATCGTACCTACAAGAACTGCAATTTGCATTGTACTGTCCTCTGAGTTTTAAGAAAATGCTTATTCCTTCATCCTTTCCACACTAAATTACCATTGAAATAAAAGGTACCCCTGTCAGTAAGTACCTTAGTTTGATGTTTCTACCTAGCTTTCAAAAAGAAAAAGGAGAAAGAAAAAAAATCTATTAATGATGGGCTTTCTGGAATGTAGCCATCAATTTGAGCATTTAAGAATAAGAACCAAAAACTTGATGCTCCTGCATCTTATTTGTAATCCTTACTCTTAGGTAAATCTAGAATCAAAAAGTTTGCATGACGGCTTAAATCATCCTCCTAGTCAAAAATAAACTAAAAGAGGAAATGGACAAAGTATTTTCACTGATAAAACAAGAAATAGCATCAACAGTAAAAAGTATCACTATGCTGGTTACAGAATTTCTTCCCATTCTTACAGTTTGATGACAAAAGTTCCATAATGCCTTCAAAATATCATAAACTGGCACTTGCCTGGAAGATACAGTCCCAGTCTCTCTTCAGTAAGCACAAACTTCAGGTAAGAGTTGAGTAGATGTTCCTTAAGCCAACTGTAACCGCACTTAACAGTCCACTGCCTAGCTGCGCTGGTTTGCTGTCTGTTGGAATAGGTGACAAAGCAACACAGAGGCAACAAGAAGTAACCAGGGCACAGCAGTACAGGTCACTTCTTTTGATAGGTAACCTGGGACTTGCTGATTGATATGGCGCTCGTGACGCTTCAGCCTTCCATGTCACAAGCTACAGACACAGGTTTTTAGTGTTACTCTCTCTTTGTCAATTGAAATTACTGATAAAATAGTCTCTTGCAACAGCAGTATACAATAAGAGCACCCATCCTACAACAGAGAGAAGATCCACCTGGCCTACTATATCTCTGCACCTGCATCCCCCCTGACCCAGAAGCACAGCAGTACACTAGCAACAAGCTTGGCTCAGCTCCATCTGGTATTCCCAGAGCTCAGCTCTGGTTGTCAAAGCAGCAGTTAAACCACAGGGCAAAACAAACACAGAGAAGGCAGGAATGGCCACCGTAAAACAACAAAACCTGACACCCAAAAAGGATCAGAATAAACTGAACTGTGATGAATATCGTGAAGGTAGAACAAGGAGCAGGAGGCAAGTTCACTGGTCTGTAACATCACATACAACTTAGAGTCGTAAAGTTAACTGTGAAATTTGTCTGTAAATCAGCATTCAAATGAATTTAATTTCTACTGGAATATATACAAGACTACACAGTAATGCCAAGAACCATCCCTTCTATTCCATAGCAAATCAGCCTTCCTGAAAACATATGGTGGAGGTCCTTCAGCACAAGGCCTTTAGGAACTGAATTAAGACTACATTATCCTTTAACATGACATATTTATTCACACAGGGGTTTCCATTCTTTGTTTTAGTTTCTATTATTTTTCCTGATAAGATTCAAATCTGTACCAATCCATGGTTCTTCCCAGGGAACGTTTGTAAAAATTGATACAGCATCTACTACTAGTTGCCATTTGGCTCTTGGGCCTCTGAGCTCCTTCAAAGATCTGGGACAAAGCTCTGGAGTGATCACCGCCTTGTAACTTTTCATTTTGGGTTGCCCTTTTATACCTTTCCTAATACAAAACTGTGGACATGACATTCATAAGCATCTCCAGACCCAAGTGTCCAACATCAGCTGTTCAAAGCACCCTGCACAAAGATGCCTCCCAACAGTTTGCAAGAGTCAGAACTTGTGCAGGTTCTACAAGCCCTTTACACTTCTGGAAACCAGCATGAAAACAGCGGGACAGTTAAGAGCAGGTGCCAGAACAGCAGGAACAGGACAGAAGGAAACGTCCCAATGCTCTCACAAGGGGCAAGTTCAGGAAGACATTGATTCCAGTACACAGAGGTGGCAGGATGTGATGGGACACCCAGGATCTCCAGAGACCTCCTCCTCCCTGTCTTCAGCACTGATACGAACACAGCAAAGGGCACAGAGCTGTGTGTGAGCCCTTCTAGGGCATGAACGGCTCTATGGGGCCACTCCAGCCCCACTGGCCATGGCCTTCCAGGGAGAGTTAGTGACCAAGCCAACTGCCTCCCCAGAGCAGAATAATGCACAAAGGAAACAGGACAACTACACACACCCCCTCTTCCCAGTAGGGGAGGAGGAATGAGGACAGCTTCAGCCACCCTTCTCCCAGGGATGAATGCAAGGAATGAAGAGGGATCAGGCCAGTCACAGCTCCCCTTTCCTCCAGGGCAGGAGGAGTGTGTGGAGGGGAGGCCGCTCAGGTCATCTACATCCTCACCGCCCCCCACCCCAGCTCTCCCTTTTTCTGGGGGTGAACCAACCAGTGATAGCCCCTTCTGGGGGCAGAAGGTGAGATCAGGCCAGTTCCCCCTGCTCGGGTGGGGAGAGGGAGAGAGAAGCATGAGGGAGAGAGAAACATGAGGGAACCAGCCTGTGTGTGTGTCGTCCCGTGTCCTGTCCCGTCCCCCGCTCCCCGTCCCCCCGTCACCCCCCCACACACACATAAGGCCGGAGACGGAGCTGCTCCCGTCTCCCTGCCACGTTGCTCCCAACAGCTGCCTGCCCGAACCTCTCCGCAGATCCCGTACTCACAGCAACCCGCTCCTCTTCCTCCTCCTCTTCCTCTCCCGGCTCCATGACGGCAGCCCCCCCGCCCCTTTTCCCCTCACGGCGGCCGCCCCGGGCCCGCGGCGCTAAACCGGCCCCTACTGCGCATGCGGCGCCGCCGCCCCACCAACCCGCCCCGTCGCTAGGGTCTCGCTCCCGTTTCTGCGCATGCGCGGGCGGGGGCGGGGGCGGGGCGGGCGCCGCCGCGCGGCGGCTGAGGGAGCGCGCGGCGGCGTTTTGGCGGGCTGGGGCGGCCGCGGGTTGTAGGGCGGGAGGGCCGGGTGTCCACACACCAAACAGCCTCCAGCCCCTCAGCCCTTTCCTTCTCGCCTCTCATCCGCCGCGTCCCAGAGGTCTGGGGCGGGTAGGGGCATGCTGCGGGGGAAATTTCTGTAAGTGAGAGGTTTCTCGGATGAGCGAGGTGGCTGCGCGCTTTAATGCCTGTGGCGGGGAAGCGTTTCCCCTGCTCTTCTGTGCCAGTCGGCCCGTAGAGAGGCGATACCCCGCCGTGGTTAGCTCTGGGGCTTGGTGGTGGGCGAACGTTAAAAATCTGGTGGCAGGCACTTTGGGATGGTGTTGGTGCGGCCGGGGGAATGAGACGCAGTTTTCCTGGGTAGGAAATCCATTCTGCCAACTCAAAACTCTCACCCAGCACGGACCATTCTTGCAGTCAGCAAAGGGACTGGCCTCGAGTTTGGGGGAGATACTCTGCTGCCAGGGTAGGCAGAGAAGCTGAGATGAACCTCTGCCAGGACCCTTTTAGTCCTTGGTGTCAGTGGGCTCCCTGCAGTCAGTCATTGCTTCCTTTTGGGTACCATGAAAGAAGAAGGAGCTCCACTTTTCCCCTGACACATCCATAATGCTTTTCCTGAGGCATTCAGTACAAGTGCAGAATAACATTTTACGTTCCAACTGGTTGTCAGCAAGGTCAAGGAAGGAATTTCCCCCTAAAATCTTGATCGCCCAGCTGTATTTTATTTACTAACCCTTCCTCTAAAGCACAGAGAGCAGGTACAGTTGAAGCTGGACCTGCAGAAGATGCAGATCGTTGATCCATCAAGGTACTGACAGTCCTTCCCCCATGGCTCAAGCAGTACGGAGGAGTGAGAGGAGTCTCCAGGGTCATTGACTGCAGCTTCACGATCCGTGTTTCACAGGCAGACATCGTTTAATCTTTCATAAAGTTATTGAGCTCCTTCTCAAAAGCAATTAAGTTTTCCTGGTGTTGGTATAAGCAATATATCCAGCTGTCCATATGAATATAGCTCCAGACTGCCCACCTCCCTGCATATAAGACAATAAATAACTGCACCAGTTTTCATTCTCTACTAAGCAGAGAGAAGCTGAAGTAGACTGAAAAATAAAGGCGCCTCCATAACATTTTCTGTCTCCTGAGTTATTTATTCTCCTCGTAGCAGTTATCTGCCATGTATGCAACGTAACATCTCCCAAAAGGCAGTGTACGTTCATTTTTGTCTGCGTTGATTCTGCAGTGAATGGGGTGTTATTTTTCAGCACTACATAAATCGGAATGCTAAAGTACATCAAGGCAAACGTTCCTTAAAATAATTAAAATGCTGACAAGAAAATGCAGCTTTATATCCAAACCCATCTCCTATTACAAAACGCAGTTAAATTTGCTGGTCTCAGCCTATCCTAGTCCTTGTTTATACACATCCCCCAAAATCATCACCTAATAATTTACGAGTGAGGCTTAAGAAAATAACCCATATCCGGGTGCATGCCTGGTCTGACCGGGTGAGGAAGAGAAGAGGCAGCAATACAAAGGTAAATAACGGCCGCAAGAAGCAGCAATCCCATACTTGCTTTCCTGGGAAGTAGGAGGAATAGCCTGCTTGATTTCAGTGCCATTTCCCCCTAATTACAGCGGTGCGAGGGAGAGCAGAATTTAGCCCGTACGTTGTAGCGCTAATAACAGTTCCAAATGTCATCTGTGAGAAAGCTTGCCATTTGCTTTTCTCTGCTGCAAGTGACTGAAGGGCTCTTCTTGTCATACAATACAGAAATTCTGTCATTCCCTTTATTTTTAGAAGAGCAATTCACAGGCAGAGAGGGGAGGAGGAAGGGTTTTCTGAATGTTTATCGCTTACACATCATACAGGAAGCTGTTCACATTCTTTATTAATTTTCTAACAATATCCAGAGACTTACTCAGTCTGAGATGTAATATGCTAAAATCCTTTCCAATAAAATGTCACCTGAAATGAAAATTTAAGAGGAGTTTTTAAAAAGGCCATTGCTATGGAAGATTTTCAGAGCGAGCGAGGCCTGACCAGCCCTGCCTGGTTCAGCTTCCCCCAAAAATCTGTAAAGCCCAAGGGCTTTTAAAGGCAAAATTTAATATATTAAGATACAGCAATTGATTAATATGCTAATTCCAGAGGAGAATATAAAATACAAGTGTCCCTCATGACTGCAAATATTTTAGAAAATGGAATATTTAAAAATCAAGTCCTGGCTTGTGCCAATAACATGTTCACTGCCAAGCTTTTGACGTCGGGATTTTCTACCTAGCACAAAAGCACCCAGGCAGCAGAGGACTCTGGATGTGACCTCAGTGGCAGTGTTTCATAAAAGCAGATCTACAGTCCTGTGCATATTACAACGTGTTAATTAAGAGTCTCTGTCCCTTACCACAGCTGATAGTACCAGGCAGCCTGAGAGGATAAAAAGTGATCTATGAATGGTGGTGATATCCTCAGTGACTGCACTTTTTAACCAACCTCTTGGCACAGCCAGCAAAGTACTAAAGTATTTTTCAAGTATTTTGCCAAAGATCTAATTGAATTTTCAGGCTTTCAGATTTGCATGCACTGAGGTAGTTGAAAACCCATAATTATTGGGATCTGGTCAACAAGCTGTTCTGGAAAATCTCAGCTGTTGTAATATTTGTGTGTTTCAGTATCAGGTATCTCAACAACACTTACACCCAACAGAGCCGGCTCCACTCTGTCTTTTCCTGGTTTGTGTTTGAAAAAATGCATGTGGTTTAGGGGGAGACACCCAGGCAATCTCTGCATCTAGTCTTGATTAAACAATAAAAAAAAAAAAAAAAAACAGAGGGAAAAAAGCAAGTAAGTGAAGATAAAGTGTGTCAGTGGGCAGAAGGGTGGGCAGCAAGGAGAAAGAAAGTGCTCATACACGAGAAGACAGATTTAAGTAGGTGATTCAATTAGTGAAAGGACAGTGGGAGTGCGCCATTAAAAGAAGAGCTGAAATGTGTCTGTGTTAGTGCAAGTGAAGGAGTTCAAACTGCAGATGCAGGACATGAAACCAGGTATTAGGATAACGATGCTAATAATGAGTTAGAGCTCATGATTAAAGCACAGGCACCAAAGAGTCAGTGCTGCTCGGGAATGATGGAAATAAATGTATGAATGGGGAGGGTGCGCGACGTGCTGAGGTTTAGTAGGCTGGAGATATAGGAGCTGGAGCCAGTGGACAAGAACCAGTGTAGGTCAACATGACTTTGAGGAAAGCGGGAAAAATATTTTTCTCCTTGCTGTCTACGCTGGTGCTAACAGTCTGCCATAAGTACTGAAATACTGTTGGAGAAAGAAGGAGTGTTTATTAGCTGATTCTGTCTAAATCAGATTGAGGGATAAACAGAATCTGGGTTTAACTGCCGTTTCTAATCTCAAAAGAGCAAATCAGGATTAAATCCAGAAAACTGTTTAATGAGATAGAATGATTTAAGGAACTTGGGCCCAGCATCACTCCACCAAACCTCAGGCAGCTAACTGGGGTATCTGAGCTGGGATGACAGTTGCCTTGCAGTCCCTAACAAGGTATAGGGTCACAGACTGGTTTGGGTGGGAAGGGACCTTAAAGCCCCCCCAGTGGCACCCCCTGCCCCGGGCAGGGCCCCCTTCCCCCAGCCCAGGGGGCTCCCAGCCCCGTCCAACCTGGCCTTGAACCCTTCCAGGGAGGGGGCACCCACAGCTGCTCTGGGCACCCTGGGCCAGTGTCTCACCACCTTCATTATAAAAAAAAAACAATTCAGCGAGCCTGTGATCCACTCTCTGAGACTACGTGGTCCCTTCCAGTGACCCCAGAAGGTGCCTAGGATAACTAAACACCTAAGTTGGGTATTCTGGTAAAATGCTCAAAATTAGGCTAAGTATACCCAAGTTTTAGGGATCCGAATGTGGAGAAAGCTCGACATTTCTTTTTGTCAGTGGTGTGTGAGTTGTTTAAAATTTTATTGCTTATACAGGGAGAAAAACTGAGCATCAGGAGGCTCTGGACCTGGTGAGAAACAACCTCAAAGAGGGTACTGGGAATAAACAGGGACCCTAAGAGAGTGATCAAGAGGACCCATCACCAAAAAAAGCTTTATCTTAGGGGTCAGAAAGCTTAGGGTGCAGTTAGGAATGTGAAAGGCTAAGCTGGGATGAGGAAAGGAACCCTGATGCCTTCCTCCCAAAGAGTGGGTCATGCCAAGCCCCTGATTTTGAGCAAAAAGAGAACATTTTAGTCAACCTGTCTCCAATGACCCAAAGTGGGCTGATACTGCTGCTGCAGAGTGTGCTGTTTATCTCCAGCCCAACCAACAAGCAGACAGTGCAGCTCCTGCAAGTATCGCAGTCACAGATTCGGGACTGGTGTCTTGACTCATATCTTATGCAATCCTTCTCCTCACCAGGAAGCGAGAAAGAACCTATTAAATCTGCCCACACAGCGTCTCTAATGCCTGAGCTGAAAGTGGTAGGAAATTATGATAGATGTATAGAGCCCTTCCCCAGGTTTCAGGCAAATCAGGGGAAAGTTCCTTTGGAAAAATGTACAGCTAATTATGGATTTTCCAGCTGCGATAACGTATGGCGGTCTAAGTCTTTCTTTAATTAAATCAGAGGTTTACAACTGAATGCTTACATTTCTGGTAGGAGTCTGTAGGGAGTAGCCTTTGAATTGGTAAATCGGCTGCCTGAATAAACCACTTGTCAAGCTAAAATGGTACGTTCGTCGAGTTACGTGCTAAGTTTAAACAAGAAAATAAACAAGTGAAT